CTTAACAACACCTCGTAGTTGCACGACCTTGAGTAATACATCGGAAACAGAACATTAGCGAAGAACAACAATTGGCGCCCTTTCGTATTCAAGCATGGCTAGATTCTAGAGCGCGATTTCTAAACTAGCTTGTTCGTGATTGAGCCATTAGTTGCAGCGTAAAAATCGTGGGATTGCACGAGAAATTTCGCTGGAAATAACTTGATGGGTACCTCAACCCGAAACGCGCTGGGCTATCAACTCCCACAAAGAGGGTATTAACCGAAATATCAGATACTAAAAAAAGCAGCACAGATAAAAATATAAAGAATTGCTGAATACTTTGCGCTGAATAAAACGAATAAAAAGTTTGGAGAAAAGAAATAGTTCAAGCAGTTTAGAATGCGCATTGACTAGTTTTTCGCTAATCTTCCAGATGCTAACAGAAAAAGCAACACGTCAGTATTTAAAACGCCATTTTAAAAATCCAAGTAAAATAAACTGGAAACTGTTATTTTTCCATACAAAATTCCTGCAAGATCTTAAATGCATTTGGGGAAAATATCATTTACATAATATCCGTTAGATTAAACGTAATGTGGCTGCTATTCGTCTTAACTTCACATTCTTTAACTCTTCATTTATAGTTCGAACCGATATATTTGACCCATAATTTGTTCCTTACCCATATGTAATCTATGAATTCCCTCGTCAAAAGTAGTTTATCTGCAGCCTGTAATTCCAATGGATAGGTTTATTAAAATTGATAAAGCTGATAATTTTGAAGCTAATATATTTTCAATTACTTCATTCTTAGAAAATAATCCTGATGTGAATGGACAGTTCGACATCACTGCATACCTAACAGACCTGGTATCTTCTCAACTTCTCAACAACCTGGTTCCGTCTTGTGTCCTGTTTAGTAGATTTAGACAAGTTTTTCTCTTTCTTTTTACTGCATATGTGTATATGTAAGTATATTACAAGCTTTTGACTCGTTTGTAAGTGATATTAATGCATTATTTACATTTTTAAATAATCAAAACGCATTTCCAAGCTAAACTGCAAATAAAACTGGATTCGTATATTGACTATTTTTGAATAACAAAAATTCTCTATTCTCCAACCTATCAAATGAACCGACGATGCCCGGAATACTCGATAACAATATCATGTTTACCAGCATATTTGCCTTAATACTGTAATACAGATAAACCTGCATGCCTTTATGTTATAAAGACATAGTCGCATATATGAGTAAACTGATGGTTTTATTATATTTCAGCTAAAAAAAAATCAAATGCACTTATGAAGCAGAAATGCTATAAATGAAATGAAGTTCGACAAAAACGTTATGTGCGTTGATGTTTGCTGTAAAATACCTGCAACTGTAAGTAAATGTATTTATGCGTAAATCGTCCCCAGTGTCTTCCAAAAAAAAGCAAGATGCTTTTCACTATATTGTGGGATACAGACAAAAATTAAGTGGCTATTAATTCACTTATTGATGTAGCAAAACTTTTCTGTTTCATATTCCAACAATGTAACGGCCCAAAGCATGTAAGGTCGAGTTTAAGTTCACTTAAACGACACCTGTTTAATCTTCTTTAACTGAAGATGAATCATCATCCCCTTTTAACTCAGAATTCAAGAGCACAAATTTGATATAGCAACTATAAAACAATTAAATTCTCTATTCATACTTTCAGATGGAAGTTACAAATTAAAATGTTAACAGAAGTGAAACTTCATCTTTTGCGGGTTAAAAATACAGCAATAATTTTAAATTTTTCCAAACCAAGAGTCAAATATAAATCTAATAATCCGGCTCAAAAACAAGAGCGAGTGCTGAACTGTAATTATACGCGTGTTAGAAGTCACTAAACGGTAGTACAGCTATTCAGCAAAAATTGAAAATATTGAGAGTTACAATACTATGGTCGTAATTGTCAATAGTCCAACCTAGATTATTTAAACATGCTCGGTTTTCACTTCTGTTGGTGAAGAACGAGAAAGATGGAAGTGCAGGAAGGATTTAACATGATAAATAACCAGTTAATTAAAATAAACCTTAGAAGCAAACCACAAACTTTAGCTTCATTAAAAGTCCGATAATAAATGATAAATACATAAAATGATGCATTATGCTGAAAATGTTAAATGCATAAAAATGTAAAATAAACATCAAAATTTATTTAAAACACGTCACGCAAGAATACAAATACAGTGATACCTCAGTATCACTCTGAAATATGTCCAACGTGGCTATACGTCCTGTTTGGATACGAAAACTTTCGTCTGGTAATGGAACACGACTCGGGTTCGAAGAGCCACGACTGCGCGCCCTACACTTGTTTAGCTCTTTCGAAACAATACTACGACTGCCTATGAGCGTCAGTACGCCCATTCTAACTATTCAGTAAACAACAGGTGCTAAAACTCTGAATTTTCGAGTGATTTTGTGGGGTTGTTTATCGTAAATATTCTGTAAATTCATGAGCAATACGTTTTAGGAAAGTTAATGAGAAAAGTCAAGCAAGGAGAAAAAATGGTTGTTGAAAAGTATGAAGAAATCCTGAATATCCGGGATTGGGGGATATTGTTAACCGTATGCCGAGTACGACGGTATCTACGATTGTAAAAATCAAAAACACTATTTAACCGGCTGACGTTGCAAAAGAGGTGAAATGGATTACCAAACAAAGAAAAAAGACGTTAGAGCACGTTGAAAAACTGCTGCTGATGTGTATAGCAGCAATACATTTATGTACAGCTTCATGTGCAATGCTTAATTTATGTATAGTATATATTTCCTTCAATGCATTTATATTTTAGTATTGATTAAACGGTATTATAATAATAACAATATGCTTTTTTATAAGACCGGGTTTATTTTTCCTTTATTTCTTACTGAGAACATTTGTTTTGTATGTTATTACACATCTTGAGAATCAGATATGACACAATGAACGATGTCGCATAATACACTATAAGCGAATTGAAACATAGTGATCATGTTCCTACAAAAAATTAAATTTTTATATTGCTAGAATTTTAGACACCTCTTGAAGGAGACTACTTAGAAATGTGAGCTGCCATCCTTAGCTGAATATTTTTGCTAGAAATTTTGACCTGGTAGAAGTTAGTTGCATTTACTTTACTTTGTTCTCATGCAAGTAAATTTACATATGAGAACAAATCATCTCGCAGAAGAAAGATACTTTAATTCAACACAAAAGTTGTCTAACGCCTTTCATTTACAAGTATACATAAAACATAAAAGTACCAAATATTCATCTGATATTGTACAATGAACAAACAGTTTCAAGAATTCCATATTAATTTATCGATGCTTTAGATCAATAATAATAAATGTTAACTTAAGATAAAATTTTGATTACGCATTTTATATTATAACTGTACTTTTTTCAGATAACATGGGCTTAAAATTTCAGAATAATGTATTCATATCTTATATTTTGTAAAATATACTGTTTGTATTTGCTCATAATAAAATATTCAATAATTAGAAGTACTAGAATAGTTATTTAATTTACCAGAAACATATTGATACAAGATCAAGCTATTTCAATGGCTTTGTATACAAAAATATGGCCAATTTAGTTCGATAAGCTGAAAGTGACTTTGCAAAATTACTTGCGCAACATTGGGGAATAGTTGCCAACATTTACTAGATGATCTAAACCTCTTGTAATTATGTAATAAAATTTCTTTTATAAGGTTTAAAATAAATAGAAAGGATTATTATATTTCAATTTGTTTAATTGCAAAACTATAAATATTTATTTAAAATGTTTAATTTATTTTGAGCAATACATATATTTTTTAAACATAGAATCGTATGTTTGCCAGTAACATTTTTTAAATATATTGCCCTTTTTGGGAATTATCCGCTTTTGCAACTGTATTTAAGAAGGAAAATTTTTGCGTATTCTCAAGTTTTGGAATCATTGCATGTAATTCTCTACACTGAAGAATATTCTTATCGAAAATTTAGTTTCAAGTTCTTTGCAATATAAATGCAAATATCCTACTTTATCTTTTGTTTTGATATTTTTGCCACTGCAAACTGAATTTAAGAATCATTAGTACTTCGAAAAAAAAAATAGCTGCATATTATAGGTACAGGTAGAAGCTAAGCTAGCACTTCTGTACTTACTAAGTACCACATGTGTTTGAGGTACTACTGTACATTGGCAAATTGCTGCCTAGATACGATAATACCTCAGTACTTACCTCAATATTTAATAATACCTCAATATGCTTCGGCTCTAATTGGAATTAGAAAGAAAAACATCCCGAAGGCAGTCTGATAGACCTGCCACTCCTCTTCGCCTACCACAGCCTCTCGAGAGGCACATGCGTATTGTGAATATCCCCTTGGCACACAGGCACTATATGCTTACCTTCCATTTATGCGTTGTTCCAGGATTCAAAAGCGGACCTTTTGGTACTGCTTTTAACATCACTAATCACTAAACGGGCTGGGCAGCAGCTGCATACTTTACCAAACCGCAAATATGCACCCATGAATATGATCCGGTTTCCTTTAGAAAGTTTCCCATGAAGGCACCTCTAGTCCACTTAGCCACAATCCAAATAAACTTGTCTGCACATATGCACGATATTATGTAACTCGGTAGTGAAATCAGTTTATCTGACAAACTTCATACAGTTATAATATTAATTTGATTAAGTTATCAATATATTTCATAATTTTGTTTTGCGTAACAAAACTTCTGACAACTTTCATAGTTAAATGGTAAGAAAAGTACATCCAAGCTTTCTGTTTGTCACTTTCAAGCATTACATATAGATAAAACGAAAGAAAGATCCGAGTATATTAGAGCTTGAGATACATATCATTTTCTCTCCATATGCCAAAACGCACAGGTCATCACGCAAATTTAGTAATAATTTGATTTTAAATTTGTTAATAATTTTTATCTGAATGAATTAAATAAGCGTAACAACAGAAAAATCACATGTAAAATATTCACCTATGATACTGAGCCTGCAGGAAAGAGAACTCCTCTTTAATTCTGTCACATGTTTCTGCGACTGTAAACTTGAAAGGCTGACCGGCGGCTGGCGGAGGACCCTGCGGAAAGGAAAACAATAATAATCAGTGAACTATAAAGTAAAACAGCAACTAATAAAAATAACTAATGCAATAATTATCACAGCAGATACAGCCTAACTGCGGCTCTTTGACCCCTAATTGTGGCACGCGTTGTGGCAAACAATGCTTTTATTTTTAAACAATCATTTAAATTTAAAACATAAATTGTGATACTAGATTCATTTTTAACAATCAGCAATTTAATCTTTCAAATTACAGCACTGAGACTTTAAACAGTTTCATACTGTGTACCATTGATGCGATTCTTTACCGAGGCAAAAGTACTTTTAGAGCAAGTATGGGACTGAAGAAAGCCAGAATAAATTAGCCAGGGCAGTCTTTGTGTATCACCGGGCAAATTAGTGTGCTGGTGACCCTTTGACAACCCCTCACGTTAATGAAATGTAAACGAAATAAAAACGGATTAGCATAAACTTCCTATGCTTCTGGAGGCCCCGGGCTAATACCCACCGGCTCTCGCATTAGCAACACCTTCCTCGATGAATGAACGTACAGTTTCCTTGGGCGCCTGGGCATGGCCCTATCCCAGTAGAACACTTTTTGGCACTTTTAGAATGTTACCTAGCATAAGAAGGAATTAATAGAGATAAGCAAAAAAAGTCCTAATAAGCAATTTGGCAAATCGAACGACGAGATGGCATAAGTTCGTAAGGTTGGTAGTGTTCATTAATGATGCAGATGAAGCCGTATAATTATATACTTTCGTGAGAGTAGCAGGAGCTGAGTGCCGAGCTGGCGGTAAGAGCAAAGTCAAGCAACACCTTGCGTTGTGAGTTGTTATCTCAAATCTTACTGAAAGGAATATACACTACGACTTCCATCGGTAAGAAAGGAAACGTTTTTGATGATTCACTGTGCAATTAAGGAATCAATTAAATGACTTAGCATTAGTTTTCATCTCCAGATATTTGTCCTCTCGGAAACTATACAGGAAAAGTAAATTATAATTTTTTATCCAAAAAAAAAAATCTTGATAAATGGACTATTCATTTTTTAAAAAAAATTTGATATATGCAAGTGCAATTTCTCTGCATAAAATTGCTCATCTATTTTAGAACTAAGAAAATCCGCTAATTTTGTTTTTCAAATCTCTGGCTGATTGTTAATTCTCAGCATATAAAATACTATTTGATTTCCCTCATAAGTTGAAAAAAAAACGCTAGTCCGAAATTTTAAGCATGGTTTCTCTTTCATTTGAAAACTACTGTTTACAGTCAAGGAAATTTGGTTTGGATCAAAGGGAGTTCAATTTTTCATCAACTACAATTTATAAATTAATCTAAATTTTTATTTTTAACTCCAACGAATTTTATTAGCTTAATCACAATCACCAAACAGAAGAATCAATCATGAGCAAGATCTTTAATTTTACACTAGGTGATACGTTTATAATTTGGAAGCTTTCACAAACTTTCTTGACCTTTAGTTGAATCAATTAATTGTTTTATTTTATTCTTCAATTTAATGTGCTAAAAATGCTTAATTCCGTACTTTGCAATAATTCTAATTACAAAAAAACTCATCAATTATGAATTCTTACCGTCCTATATTTAGAACCCAGCGGCGACCGAGAGGTAAAATTGTTGAGCACTGCTAATTTCGAACTGGGTTCCATTCTAGCAGAACGAGCTGGCTGCGTGAGCGTTTTCGTGGTTTTCCCCCCGTGTAACGTGTATACTAGCCAGTTCTCCTTAGAAAGTCATCCACGAAGGCATCTCTTCCCCTAGGCAGATAGCCCGTGAGTGATTTGCCATAATCAGATAAAACAAATCAAACCTACTTTAGTTCAATCACTTCTGAATTTGAATAATTTAATTATCTTCTATTGTTTAGCAACTTACACATAAAGTATCCAACTCTATTGTAGTACAAAATCTTTTTCATTGGCACAAGTTACTAATTAAACGAAGTAGGTATCTTTTAGGTTGCCTTTACGTATGTAACGCAATCACGAACTAGTGCCCATTAAAACAATTCTCTACAAAAATAAATTGCGCTTGCGTGTTTCTTCAGGATTTTTTATAAACAATAAATAACCCCTTATATGTTGCAATCATACATTTACTGTTTTCGGAAACAAAACTTGTGTCATAACCGCAGGATATTTAATTACAGGTATTTTTTAATGCTATTTCACTATTTATAAATGAAGCGCATTTTTAAACAGGATAGATCACAATCAGTTAAAATTAATGCCAAACACATGAAATAAAATAGTGTAATACATCATTTCGATAAACGTTAAGAGTTTGCTAACCTCTGCAACGTCCTTCCATACAAAGAACGATGGTGCAACATGTAATTCATTAAATTCAGTCTTATGTTTCGAAACTCGTTTTGCGATGCCGATTGAATTTACTGCTGTGCAACACGCAAATAAAAATGGATGAAAAATGTAGTATCTACTATGATTTCTATAGGATAAGGGATACATTGCGACCTTTTAAAGTTTAAACATTGTAAGACACCGTATCAATCAACTGAGTAGATAAAGAAAAACGCTATTCATACATTAGAATTACCTTTTAAAAGCATGGACGGCTTAACGCATTACAAAACACACGAACAGCCTCCTTTGCATGTCAGAGACCTTTAAGCTTGTTATTATGCATATTGCTATAAAATTACTTCTGGAAACGATTTTCAGCAGTAAGAGATACAAAATAGATATTAAGATGAAAAATAATTTTAAAAAATCAGAAAGCTTTCAGATTTTACATTACGCCCAAAGGCGTGTTTTTTAAACATTTTGTGGGTTATCTTTATTTATTAAATATCATGTTCTTCGCATTTAAACCATAAATTCAATCCAACAGCAATATCACAAAATATTTAAAAGAGCATATCTTTAGAATTTCAGATACAAGGTCTCGCGCGCTAGAGACAATTTTTTTTTTTACACCTCTCCGTACAGTGTTGCCATTGTCCATTTTGAAATCACTAAGTTTTTTAATCAAAAACTCATAAATGCTTTACAAAATATGAAATAGCATAAATGTAACACAATAACAAGTAAAATTACTGGAAATGAATTTTCAGAAGTATGGGCTTAAAAACTAAAAAAATTAAATGGTCTAAAACTATCCCCCTCTTACGCATTTATTCATTCGGAGAAATAGCTGACATTTGTTACAAACTTGCACAATCTTACGTATGACAGCTCTGACTGACGTTTCTAACGACTCTTAGATATTTGCTCTATGTAAAAATCAGTAGTCCATGCAAAATTACAATTCGGAAAGAATAAACGAAACGGATAAAGAGAAATGTGACTTTAACAAACTGTCATTTTTATACTAAAGGGTCTACGAACAAATGATGACAAACACAAAAATTCTGGAATTCCTTTTTTTTCCTTTTAATTTTTTTTTTTTTTTTTTTTTAAAAAAATTGGCGAACATAGTAAAGGTTAAATACTCCCAAGCATTGCAAATTTCAGTAAAACTTCTTAAAAGGTTCGCCCGTATATACGTACGTCAATCAGGTAATTTTCTTATATTTTAATGAGCATTATTTATAATACATAAAAATGTCCTGTATTCCAATTAGATGCCTTAAATTTCTTGTTGTTTTGGAATAGCAGTGATCTTTTTAGCTACAACACCTTTGGCTATGAATATGAGCTTTAAATGAAAGTAATCTTAAATGCAAAGGTTTTTTAGCAGAAGACACTAAACCAGTGGTTGGCATTAGACTGGTTGAAACTTCGAAGTTTCTATAAGCTTCTCTTCAACCAAGTCCCCACCAGCGGCCGAGCGGTAAAGTCGCTGAACACTGGTAGTTTGGTCCGAGGTTCGAATCCCCGCGAACGGGCTGGCTGCATGTGTTTTCGTGGTTTTCCCCATGTGTAACGTGTATACGAGTCAATTTCCCTTAGAAAGTCCTCCACGAAAGCATCCCTTGCCTTAGGCAGATAGCCCTCGAGGCTTTGCCGTAATTAAATAACCTAACCTAACCTCTCTTCAACCAATTAAATAAAAATAAAAGACGAATCTAATAACTCAAGCGACAAATGAGCTAGTAAAATTATGATATAAACTTTCAGTACACATAACAGATTCATGTTATAAAAATCATTCTTTACTTCTGAATGCTAAAAAATTAACATCCACCTTTCATAAGGTAGATCTTGTTATTGCGGAGTTCAATATATAATCTTAGTCAGTTTTGTCAACAGCTCATTTAAAAGTTTTTAGAAAAAGAAACTGAATACATATTCAATCAGTATAGCTTTCTACCCAGAAATGTATTTAAAAGAATTTATATTGCATGATAAATGCTTATTATTTTCCAATATAAATTTCAGTGCTCTTTAGACGAATTACGTCTTTATATTTAGAAGATAAGATGATATTGCTTTTTGTATGGATAAAATTTTCATGTTAATGGTAGTCCTGACTTCTTGAATTATTTCTCCATAGGTTCAAGAAACGTTTTGAGTTGAACGACAAAACTAATAAAAATTTCCTTTGATAACACTGAAAGAGAATTGTACAGCGCAAACTATTTTTTAGAGCCCACCAGGGCCGAGCGGTATAAGCCGCTGAACACTGGTAGTTCGTTCCGGGGTTCGAGTCCCGGCGAACGGGCTGGCTGCATGGACGTTTTCGTGGTTTTCCCCATGTGTAACGTGGATACTAGCCAGTTTCCCTTAAAAAGACCTCCACGGGGCATCCCTCCCTTTCCGTGTAGTGCCTAAGGGTAATAAATAAATGCACGTAATAAATAAATAAATTAAAAAAAACTATTTTTTAGTAGATCAGAATGGTCGCTGTAAATAAATCCAAACTGGTAAACATAAATAAATAAATAAACTTTTATTTCTAATTTTTATATACGAAGTCCATAAAACGTAATTTAAGTTCAATAAATCGCAGGAGTTTTAGAAGCTAAAATATGAAAATATTTTACATTCATAAAGATGAATAAATCGATGATACTTTGAAACCGAAACCCTA